CGCACTTTGATTAATTAATTAATTTTACATGGTTTTGATCGAGTAATTTGCAGAAATTTATCAATAATTTATGGAATATTTATATATGAAAATTTAATTGCTATTGTCTATGTAAATATTGAATGTGGTTTCCGTATGGAATTGTTTATTAATGAGCAAAGAAATAAAAATAATTATTTTGAACATAATTAATTCAATGCCAAAAGAAAATTTGAATATTAAAGATTATTTTTTTTACGCATTTTACAGTAATATTATAAACTTATTTTTTTTTGTATATTTATTTCTGATTTACGTGCATTTTACGTTAATATAAAAATTAATTATTTATTTTCAGGAATAATTATAATTATCTTCAAATTTTAAAATTTTTGATTAACATATTTAGCTGTAGTTTTAACATCATGAATATTAATTTTTAGTTAGTAACCTACTTTGATACTCAATGCCAGTAATTAAAAACTGTAGTTGATGTAAAATTTGAATGTTTATTATGCGTTTCAATTATAATAATTATATTGCTGCTGCCTTGAAAAACATTTGAAGATAAAATAATCACATTTCATTAAAGTTTTTTTTTTAAATGAGTTTTTAATTAATACAAAAAAAAAAGTGTAAATTGTGCGTAGTTTTCTTGTTAAGATTATATAACGTAAAATGAGTCTAATTTGTAACGATTTAGAGCGTTGTACAATACATTGCACTAACAGAGCAAGTCGTATAAATTAATTACTTATGCTCGATCGTAATCAAATAATTAGCGAACAAAAATCGCAGTAATTCATATAATTAACAGTTAGAACGCCGTTAATGTTTGTTATTAAAGAAAACTATTGGTATTGCAGTGCAACGAATACTAATATATTTGATAATTAGTGAAAGGTGCAATGCTAAATACTAATTTGAAATTCAGCAATTTTGTAACAGCCTCTTTTTACGAAATCCTGACCCAAATGCGCATTTATTTTGATGCTTTTGTATTTTATTTTTTGGATAACAAAGGGAAAGCGATCGTTGATATGCAAATCGAGTTGTCTGATTTTCGGCCTCAACAAGACTTTATCTCCGCATCGAGTCAATCAATTTGACTGAATCTCGCGATCTTTTTTTGTTATTCGCAACACGTAATTAGTGTCCATTGTGCAAAAGAAAAAAAAATAAAGAAGAAATTTATAAGAAAATATAACAGACGTTGTCGATGGATTTATAAAGATCTGAAGAAAACCGAGAGCCAATTAAGTCGCTTTTGTGTTTGTATACCTTTTCATGTTCATAACCTAAATTCTTGCGCATTATGCAACGGCGAGTGTCGAACGCCGAGTCACTTCTATTTGTTTGCACTAACAAGATCAGCTTCCGTCCGATAAATGCACAATAAGTCTTAACTAGTGTGAAGGCCGACGTTTCCAGCAGATGTGATGAAGACTCTTTTTTCTTCTTCTTTTCCTTCTGCGGCTTCTACAAAAGGTTTTTGTGTGCAGAGACCTTCTGCTGAGAGGATGACTCCGATGCGGTTGAGATCATTTACTCACTTGCATCTTAAGACAATGGTTGTAAAAGCTAAGGTCGAATTACATAAAGAATTCGCTTCAAGGTAGAATTTTTGACAATTACATTTCCGGGTTTTCCTTTGCAGAAACTTCAGAATTGTTACATCAAATCTTATTAAGTTATATAATCCACAATTTTGTACAAATTATCAAATAGAAAGTAAAATTATCCATATCAAAAACGTTAAATCATTTGTTTTACTAAGGAAACGTAATCAAAATAGAGTATGAGTCAATAATATGTGAAAATATCTTAAAAGATCACTTTCCATTTCTGATTGGAAAACAAAATCGAATCTCTCTGATTTGCATACGATTTTGTGCAATTGAGAAATCTTTACCACCTTCATATAAAAAAAAAAGTAATGACTCACCCTATATACGCTATAGGCTTATAATTTAAAGTGAAAATGTAACACCCACAATTTCGAGAGCAGTTTACGCAATTCCTGTTATTAATTGCGACCAAAAAGAACTAATGCAGACCAAAAAAAAAATCCAATATGCGTAGGAAGTAATCATTAACACAAGAAAACAAGACTTTCTTAATAGATTTCCTTTCGTCGCTTTATATTCCTTTCAGCTTGAACGAAACTCTTCCGGATTCTGGTTGCGTGCGTGTGCAGGAAACGCTGCTAATCCAATTTTACGTACACATTGAAACAGACATGAGGTGCAAAGAATAGAATAATGCAAATCGTTGCTGCACGCAGAAAAAAAAAATTAAATATAAATGAAATACTTTTATCTGCACGTAACGAGTTTTATAGGAAATCTCGAAGGTGTTTGTTGCATGTCACGTGTTGTTTGAGTCGATGGCGTGCGGTGCTGACAAGTATTCAAATGCAGAGTTATTCGGGCTTTTTTCGCTTTCCTCTAACTCGCACATTCCTTCTGGTAACGCTTGTTCTTGGTTCGAAAGGTGCCAACTGTTAAAGGTAGACCTTGGCTCCGTATATATCGCACGCACTTCCATTTTTTTTTTGTCCACTCAATTAATTGCAGCAACAACAAAAAAATGGACAAACCGCGCATAGGAGCTCATACATAATATTTACGACGCCTATGGGTAGGTCATGCAATTTGCATTCTACTATCTAATCGCGTGCTCCTCGGTGCATTTCCTTTCAAAACCTCTGTCATAATGCTTTTATTGTGTTTTTTTTTGGGTCACACTATCAGCATTTGCTAAAACGATTGAGCGAGAAAGCGTTAAATCCGCAAACGACCCTTCGCCAAAAAAAATTACAAAACTTTCACACAAAATTTAAGCAGGTAATGTTAAAGGCTTATCCATTCTTTAAGTTAACTGAGAACTCTTAGTTTACGCAATAGAAGGAAAAAATGCATTTAGTTCACTAAATAGAGCATAGAAAACCGAAGGATCATCCTGTAATGCTATACGTAATTCGAAACGTACGAAATTTAATAGGAACAAGAATACGATCTTCACGGTCATTGTCCAGCTTAAGCAAGAACAAACAAAACAATTAATGTGTAATTACAAAAAGTAATTCAAGTCGCGAAGCAACAAACTGCACTTTGTTATAAAATTGTTTTCTATATTCGAAATTATCTTTGGTTTTACGTAAGAAGCAATTTTATTTACATTTAGAAACAATTAACAAGAATCTTAATTGTAATTTATATTTCCTGCTTTAATGATAACAATTAAAGCTTACGTCCACTTGTAGTTATAATCGAGTATAAGATTAGTCGTTTATGCAACAGATACGCACTTAGAAAGTAAATAGCGTTTCAAGAATCCAGAAGATGTTAAGTGTTGTTGTAAGCGGTTGTTCGAGTTGACAATGGGTGGAAGATTCACAGTGCAATTGAGGAAAGTGTTTATGGAACGAATTCCTTCCTGTTCCTTTTATTTTCCTTGAGTCATTATTTGGAAACTGAAAGTAATTTGGCTTTTTTTTGAGGAAACGTAGTTTTTTTTAATCGTCGGAAATGATGACGTGAGTTTTCTAGTTTCAAACAGTTTTTAGAGATTAGTTTAAACTGTTTGTAGATGATTTCTTTGAAAGCTTTGGACAGATCGAAAACCATGCATTAAGCGTTATTAATTACGGAATCATCCATGCATTTAATAATAATCGCATAATCATTTTCACTTTTCTATTAATGGTCGAAGGCACGCCTCTTTAAATGTTCTTATTTATTATATATTTACTTCTCTTTCGGTCGTCGAGGAAATCCGAGATACTTTCGCTGCTCACGAGTATTCAACTATTATATACTAATTTGTTTAACAGATTTTAAATAATTAAATACTGAAAAAAAAGTAAATTATGGTCTTTTTTTTGGGAATAAATTGTTAAGTTTGTAAAAAAACCGCAGAAATTGTTGGTGTGTGAAACTTTCGTTTCTGCTTTGATTGATAAAGAAATTGGAGTCACGGCGAATGCACATTTTGCTGCTCCTCAGATTGCTTATTGCTATTTGTTTTTTGTGTTATTATTACTTTGACCAGAATGTTTATTGATTTCTAATAGAATTTCTGTAAACGTGCGTTGGGCAACGATTCCAAACCAGATCAACTCGGAACCAGTTTCCCTGTGTCTTTATAAGCGCAAAAGACTTATTGCATAAGACGTTCGCGATACAAATAGCAGTTAGCCTATATAAGCAAATGAAGCTCACCAAATAGGAAACGCTGGTCCCAGGAAATCCAGCGTTTCCAGCGACCGCTAGAAAGTCCATCCAAAATGTGTATTTCGAATCTCTCTCAGGAGAGCATTCATTTCCATCCATTGATAACATTACTTTTAATCATTTCTTGTAAAAGAAAAAACAAAGACAGATACAATTTTCTATACACATTTCTTACTAATTTTTAAAAAAATTGTTCAGGAAATTGGATTGGTAGACAAAATACAAAAATCCGTTTATGGTTATGAAATCGTCGGAGATGCGAGTTGCGTCAACAAGTTGAAATGTTGATGAGGAATGGGAATCAGCATATAATAGCAAATTAGAATCGAACAAATTGAAGAAAATTTGCAATTGTTTGTTCGGTGATATAATCTGGCAGGTAGATAGATGCAAAATAATAGTTGGAGAAGTGAATATGAAAGGCGAGCTGTGAGCAAATAAATATTTTTTCAATTTTATTTATTAACTCATTATATACCGGATTGTGCTCTTAATATGTACATATATAATATATTGGACTTTCTATAAAAACAGAACCGAACCGAGTCTCAAAGCGCTGCCGTTTAATTGATTTGCAAACCAATTTCCGTCGAAAGGCGCGAGTCGTGTGCTTCGACTTACGAAATATCCTCAAGATCCGATGTTGAACCATGCCTGCTTTTTTATTCAATTAAAAAAAAACAACTATGTAGACATTTCCAGCATTCCTTTGTGCATCATTGCAGTCTCTGACTGAATACATCTGCATAATAAACAAATAGTAAACATAATTCTTCTTTTTTGCAGTCAATGATCAATCGACGTCTGCATCCTGGTGGCAGCACGATGCCATCAACCCAGCCGATCTCGGAGACCAAACGGACTTCTTCTCATCCACCCATGGATTAGCTCAAACCCATCCGGCTTTGAACCCTGGCTCAGTCCGGTATTCAGCCGGAAACCGTAAGAGGCCTAACTCAGGTTCCAGTGTCTTCAAGCACTTGGACTTCAGGACTTCGGCTACCGCTGAATTGAGGAAGAATCCATCTCTTTCCGCTCCCGATGAGTGCGCTAGAGCTTGCAGAGAAGGCGAACCACCAAGGATTTGCTATTACCATTTCACGTTGGAATTCTACACCGTACTTGGAGCGTAAGTATTTCTATTAATTTCAATTCGAATATTGAATATTAATTTATTATTTTTTTTGCGTAATTCAGGGCTTGTCAAGTCTGCACTCCGAACGCAACCAACACCGTCTGGTCCCATTGCCAATGCGTATTAGCTGATGGTGTGGAAAGAGGTATTTTGACAGCCAACAGGATGGTACCTGGACCAAGTATTCAAGTGTGCGAAGGCGATAAAGTAGTCATCGATGTTGAGAACCATTTGGAAGGTATGGAGGTAACTCTTCATTGGCACGGAATCTGGCAGAGAGGATCCCAATACTACGACGGTGTACCATTCGTAACTCAATGCCCAATCCAGCAAGGAAACACGTTCAGGTAATCAATCTTAATTAGTTAAACTAAGAGCAAATTGCTAATATTAGTTTATTGATTAGGTATCAATGGGTTGCTGGTAATGCCGGTACTCACTTCTGGCACGCTCATACCGGTCTTCAGAAGATGGACGGTCTCTATGGCAGCGTTATTGTAAGACAAGCTCCATCGAAGGATCCGAACAGCCACCTCTACGATTACGATTTGACCACGCACGTTATGCTCTTGAGCGATTGGCTCCATGAAGATGCCGCTGAAAGATTCCCAGGAAGACTCGCTGTTAACACTGGACAAGATCCAGAAAGCATGTTGATCAACGGAAAAGGACAATTCAGAGATCCCAACACCGGTTTCATGACAAACACTCCACTCGAAGTATTCACCATCACTCCAGGCAGGAGATACAGATTCCGTATCATCAACTCCTTCGCCTCGGTTTGTCCAGCTCAGCTCACCATTCAAGGGCATGATTTAACGCTGATCGCTACCGACGGTGAACCCGTCCATCCAGTTACCGTGAACACGATCATTTCCTTCTCTGGTAAATGATTGATTATTGAATTAGTATTTTGATTCTGATTGTTTTTTAAATCGTTTAGGTGAAAGATACGATTTCGTTATTAACGCCGATCAAACAGCCGGAGCTTACTGGATCCAATTGCGTGGATTGGGAGAGTGCGGAATCAAGAGGGCCCAGCAGTTGGCCATTCTTCGTTACGCCAGAGGCCCATACCAACCAAGCACTACTGCTCCAACCTACGATGTCGGCATTCCTCAGGGTATTGTAAGTATTAATCCTGCTCAAAGAGAATTCGATTATTCAGAGTTTGAACCGTTAAGATTCGTGTACAAAATTTAGAGCTGTGTACATTTGGGCTTCAAAATTTCACGCGATACTCAATGTATCCATTTTCTTTAACAGATTCATTGTATATAAAACCCAATGATCGGTATTCATTTCAAAATTTGTATATATATATAAATATAAAATAGCGACTCGTTATGTAAATACGATTATTTTAAAGTTATCCGGTGATGGTTGGGTTTGAAAATTTGATCAAAATTTTTGTTTTTTATTTATTTTTATTTTTTGTAAATAATTTGCAAGATATGTCGCGGTTTGTAAATCTGTTGTGTATGTATGGAAGAGATTCAAAATTGAGATCCTGGTTAGGTATTAAATCCTTTGGACGCGAAGTGTAATGAGCAAAGGGCTGACGCGATTTGCGTGAACCAGCTTAAAAATGCTAGGGACATAGATCGCGGCATCCTGCAGGAAAGGCCCGATATCAAGATCTTCTTGCCTTTCCGATTCCACGTCTACTCGCCCGAAGATCTCTTCGCACCGAACACCTACAACAGACATCTGAGTAAGTCTTTAGAGCGCGTCCAGGAATTCACCTGATCTTTATTCTGACTTGTGCGTGATTGCAGTCGCTCCAAACGGAGATCACGTAATTAGTTTGATCGATGAGATCTCGTACATGTCTCCGCCGGCGCCTCTGCTCTCGCAGTACGACGATGTCAATCCGGATCAGTTCTGCAACGGCGACAATAGACCTGCCAACTGCGGCCAGAACTGCATGTGCACCCACAAGATCGACATACCTTTGAACGCAGTCGTCGAGGTCGTCCTTGTCGATGAAGGTGAGTTTTCGTTATTTAGAGTGATCGGCGCAAAAACCCTGACCTCTTCTCGCTCTTAGTCCAACAAACCAACTTGAGCCATCCGTTCCATCTCCACGGATACGCCTTCAACGTGATCGGTATCGGCAGATCGCCGGACAGAAACGTGAAGAAGATCAACCTGAAGCACGCCTTGGACCTTGACAGACAGGGTCTTCTCCACAGGCAATTCAACTTGCCACCGGCGAAGGACACCATCGCCGTTCCCAACAACGGCTACGTAGTTCTGAGATTCAGGGCGAACAATCCCGGCTTCTGGCTGTTCCATTGCCATTTCCTTTTCCACATTGTGATAGGCATGAACCTTGTTCTTCAGGTCGGCACACACGCCGATCTTCCGCCTGTACCACCAGGCTTTCCTACATGCGGTGACCACGTCCCCGAAATCTCCCTAGACGTTAATAAGATTTAAATACTAAAAGAAAAAACTCAATTTGATAAGCAAAAAACAAAACAATCGAACGAAATCAATAATTCCCTTAGGAAAAAACAAACAATTATATTTTTTTTGTACTTTATTTTAGTAATCTCTCCAAATCTTGCCATCAAGCAAATCTTTAGCTGATACCATCAGAAACATTTTCCTATTGATTCTTTTGAATGCCCTTTTCGAATTCGTACGAATTCCTCGTAAAGATTTTTGTTTTTCTTTTTTGAATATTTTTTTTTGTTTATCTAGTTATTAACTCGTATTCTGTATTTATATAATAATTTGTTTTGTTTTTATAATTTATGAGAAAGAAAAAAAAACGGAGATAGAAATGAAATCCTCTAAATGGTTACACTTTGCGCGCCATAATCTAGGTAAGTATATAAAGCAGTTACATAATGTCTCTTAATTATTATCTCTCTTCCTCTCTATATATTTTGTATAGTTCCATTTTTTTTACGTGTCTTCTTTTCATACACCTCTTTCCACTCTTGATTTGTCTTCTACTTCCGGTGCTATTTTTTTTTTTCATGTTCTGTATATACAATCACATAAATACATAATTATTTTTTTTGTTTGTTTGTCTGTAAATATCTGAATAGTTAGATTGAGTTTACGAGCTTCATAATATTGTATTATATAGATCGACGTCTCAGTATTTGTGGAGATAACTTATGTATATTATTATTATTATTATTTTCTACGATTACCTAGACGCTGAGAATTATTATTTTTTTTTTGTTTGTTACTTCTAACGTTACTACAGTCAGTATTTCTACTTATTTTTTTTTTTTTTTAATTATTATTTTGTTTTGTAAATGAAAACAAAAAAAAAACGAAAGAAAACATTTTTCCCCTCCCTCACCGTTTATTATACGATAATTACTTCCTATTAACAGAAACCAGCTGTTTACCAACAACACTAACTAAATTCTTTAGATTATTAATCAATTGTCCTAGTCTATAACAGTCTTTAATAACTGGACAAAATATTATTATTATTATTATTTTAATTAGATTAAAATTTAAAAAAAAATACACAACACACACACACACACAGAGAAGAAGAAAAAAAAACAATAGTCTATGGTACTGTTATATTTTTATATATTTTTAGGTTTAAGTATGTGTATAAAATATATGTAAAAAAATTTAGTAGTCTTGTGTACATACATACAAGTTGCATGAAAACCTTAATCCGCTGCATTTTCCCCTGAAACGCTTTTTGCAGGAAAACTTTCAGTTTTCTTTATTTTTCTCACCAAACTTCATCTAAGTTGTTACATCCAGATGGAATGATCCTAGTATTAAAGTGGCTTTAGTTTAAACATGTAGAAGGAATCGTGTATATATTAACATTTATTTTCAGTTTGCTGTATTGTACAAAAAACATAAGCTTCAACATTAGTAGATCAGGTTTGTAAATATAAAAGGATGAAACTTCTGTAAAGTGTATAGTTAATGTAAATAGTGTAAATTACATCGAGGAGGTAGGTATTTCCCTGTAAAATACCGAAATGTATAAAGTCAAATTAATTAGGTTTTTTGTTTTTGGATTGATTTTAAATATGTGTTTATTGGAATTGATTTAGGTTTTGAACCCGCTGGATGCAATTTGCAATCGACCAAGACGTGACGCCGTTTGCGTGAATCAACTTAGGAACGCCAAGAAAGTCGACAGAGCGTTGTTGCAGGAACGTCCAGATGTTAAGATCTTCTTACCATTCAGATTCTTGGTCTATCGTCCAGAGGATCTGTTCAGACCGAACACTTATAACAGATTTTTGGGTAATTTATTTATGAATTTTTGAGTTTTTGTTGGGTGTTAATTGGAGTTTTGGTTTATAGCTGCCCCGGGTGGTGATCACGTATTGAGTTTGATCGACGAAATCTCCCACGTCTCTCCTCCAGCTCCTCTGGTTTCCCAATTGGAAGACACTCCTCCAGAGCAATTCTGTAATGGTGACAACAGACCAGCCGATTGCGGAAAGAACTGCATGTGCACTCACATGATCGATATTCCATTGAACGCCATCGTCGAAGTAGTATTAGTAGATGAAGGTACTAGTTATTTTAACTATTTATTTAACAGGCTTTAACACTCTTTGGATATTTTCAGTACAATCTCCGAATTTGTCGCATCCGTTCCACTTGCACGGATACGCCTTCAACGTGATCGGTATTGGCCGGTCCCCTGATCAGAACGTCAAGAAAATCAACTTGAAGCATGCCCTGGACTTGGACAGAAGAGGTCTCCTCAACAGGCAGTTCAACTTGCCACCAGCTAAGGACACCATCGCCGTTCCTAACAACGGTTACGTGATCTTCCGATTCAGAGCCGACAATCCCGGATACTGGCTCTTCCATTGCCATTTCCTCATGCACATCCTCATCGGAATGAACCTGATCGTCCACGTCGGAACTCAAGCCGATCTTCCACCTGTTCCACCAAACTTCCCGACATGCGGAAACCATTTACCACCGATCACTCCTCCACCACCGCTAACCAATCATTGACACTAAGATTTAGAAATGAAGTGAATGAATTTAAATCGCAAAAGAAGATTTACTAAGTTAACCACTAGACTTATTATTTAAGATTTAAGTAACTATTATTTAATTTGCAAAAACTATTTAAGATTCTTGAAAATCAAATCAAATGTTTATTCTTATATAGTCTATTTTTGTATTATTATTATTATTACTACTATAAGTATTGATTATTCATATAGTTTTTCGTTTCGTGCTCCTTCCTAGTTTTTTAAGAAAATTCTATTTTTGTATACGTCGCATTACTTTTTCAGTTTGGTTTGATTTTTGAAGATGAATAATCATCCATAGAAACTACCTCTATTATTTAGTTTTACGATTTTCATTTCTTCATTATAATTTGTAATCGCTTTAATGTAATTGATAATGGATCGCAGCAATTCTGCGTTCTTTGTTATTTCTTTTTTTTTTTGTTTTGCATGCACCTCGCAATTGTTCGACGAGAGAAAGATAAGAAGCGTACTAGTCCTTAGTACTAAAAATCCTTTTTAAAATTAGGAAAGTAGATTGTATGCGTGGAATGTATATTGTATGTAAGATATGTAAGAAGTAAATAAATATTCAAATATATCAAACTTTTCTACCTTTATTTCACCAATCACTTACTTTATATTTCACTCAATTTTCAATAATCACGTTGTTTTATTTTTCATAAATCTTTCTTTATATAATAAGTAAAGAAGTTAAATATAGACAATCGTGCAAATTAACTCTGTTCGAGTGGCTGAAAATGCAAAAAATGCCTTTTTAGTTATGTAACTTTAAATAAAATTGCAACATTTTCACATTTTATAGATTTTCATTAATTTAGATTTATTATATATTCAAGGAAGTAAATTACGAAATATTATAATATATAAAAATTTCAACAACAACGAAATAATTGGATTGAAAGATTAAATTAAAATGCTGAATTTTAATAACTTTACTGTGGTTTTAGCCGTTTGGCTGTAATACGTGTTCAAAATTTGAAAAATGCTCGAAAAAGCAGTGTTTTTACAT